CCAGTACAGGATAACGCGCATTTCACCGGTCCTATTTGGGACTCCTCAGCCAACTGGGTGTACCTGCATTCCACAGTGGGTCAGTGATGATGTCCCCACCACGGAGGCTCGAACCCAGTGGCCATAGTTTCAAACACCAGCCAAAGCATTATCCACGAGAGCCACCTCTTTTGAAACGGTCTATATTAATTATTTAATTGAATTTCAGACATTTTCCCGACGATTGATTGGATGGACCGAAGTGCTCGGTCTCAGGTGCTGACATGTCTGTTGGCTTCTTGTGCAGATGCTTCGACGATATCCGGGCATGTAATTAGAATTTATTTGGTGTATGGTGACTAGCAGTGGAATCCACGATAACGCACATTTCGTCCTCTTGGGGACTCGTTCACTTGATGTAGCTGCATTCCTCAGTGGTCTAGTGGATAACACTTTGGCTGCTGGTGTTTGAAACTATGACCACTGGGTTCGAGCCTACGTGGTGGGAACATCATCACTGACTCGCTGTGGAATGCAGGTACACCCAGTTGGCTGAGGAGCCCCAAATAGGACCGGTGAAATGCGCGTTATCCTGGACTGGATTCCACTGCTGGTCACCATCCACCAACTTCTAATTACATGCCCAGACATCGTCGAAGCATCTGCACAAGGAGCCAACAGACATGTCAACCTGAGATCAAGCATTTCGGTTCATCCAATCGATCGACGGGAAATTATCTGAAATTTCAATTAAAATACAAGTCCGAATTACACGTGTGATAATCCATTTGGATAAATACGTGGAACCCTGCCCCCCCCCCCCAATTGACCTATGTATGATCTTTTGAAACTATTAACAGAGGGTGAGGGTGGAGAAAAAAGTGGCTGAATAATATCACCGTCATTATCGCATTTTTCTAAATAGTAGATGTCGAATTGAAACATGACAAAAAACAACGTTACACAGAGTGCCTTCGATAAGTGATAGGTTGTATTTGTTCTATTATAATTAAACTCCAAAGCATCAGTGTTATCAGACTTGAAAGCGCGGTTTTTCATTTCAAATTTAGTGAATTCTACTTGGAAACAGTTCAATAGTTGGGGTTAGCATATTTAGCATATGGACCGCCACCTACAACACGCCCAATAATACCAACAACGGAAGCAGAACTACCCACCAGTGAACATCAACCCCCACCCCCAAGACGAGAACACAAGTCCTGAAGGCAATCAAAGTGCTAAAAGCTGGAGCTGGAAAAGCAGCAGGACCAGATGGAATCCCAGCAGAAGCATTGAAAATGGACTCAGAGACAACAGTGGATTTGATGACAGCACTACTGGAGAAGGTGTCGACGGAGGGCAAGGTACCCGAGGAATGAAAGAAAGGATACTTATTCAAACTACCAAAGAAAGGAGACTTAAGTCAATGCAACAACTGGCGCGGAATTATTCTCCTGTCCATCCCAAGCAAAATACTAAGCCGCATCATCCTGGAGAGAATCAAACACTCCAATCTGGATGAAAAACTTCGACCGAAACAGGCTGGATTCAGGAGAAACATGTCATGTATATATCAGATCGCCACAGTACGGATCATCATTGAACAGAGCTTGGAATGGCAGTCACCTCTCCACCTCACTCAACTTCATCGACTTTGAAATGGCCTTCGATAGCGCATCGTCGATCGAGAGGTGATTTGGAAACTACTTCGCTACTACCAAGGGGTCCCGCCGACATCTCATCCAAAAGTTAGCTGTACGACAATGCTGCATGCCAAGTAATAATCCACAACGGGAAACTTACAGAATCCTTCGAAGAATTGAAGACGGGAGTAAGACAAAGCTGACTGCCTACTATCTCCCATGATTTTCCTGGTCACGGTAGACTGGATAATGAGACAGACAGCGGGCAGGGTAGCGAGGAAACAGGCATAAAATAGACCCTCACGAAAGGTCGTCCAAGGGTAACTTGGAGGAGGTCATGTGAAGAGGAGATGATGAAAGCATGTGGGCAGACTTGGTTGGACCCAGGTGAAAAACTTAGCAGAGAACCGAACGCAATGGAGACGTGCAGCTGAAGAAGCCCTATGTTCCTCTAGGAATTAAAGGAAGTAATGACATTATAATAATAATATTTAGTGAAAACACAAAACCAAGACTACCCATCGCGCCCCCACCCCAGACGAAGAAATCAATCAACAGAAACAACACGTATCAGTATCACACACGGTAGAAAATTTTCAGCTCGAGAATAGAGCATGCATCGTTCTCATAATAATGCCCTAACGACAACGGCTTACGGGAGGAGATGACGACTAGTAGAAGACACAGACAATCGAAGTCTCTATTGATGACATTATCTCACCTAGTTTTGTGTGAATAGACAGTGAAAAACGCATACACACACATACACGGTCGGTCGGTTTTCGACATAGAACTTTGCACATATATGCACCAGTTCAAGTCGCCACACTCCATGTAGCACACAAAGCAAGAGAAGAAAGTAGGAGAAATGCATAATAGAGAGACAGTAAACAGAGGTGTGTTGAGACAAAGGAATAGTAATAACGAAGAACAAAACACTTTCATTGGAAATCATAAGTCACAAGGAGTGGATACATCTGCGCCAGCCATCATTGAGAACGATTTTGAGCCATATCACCAATTGTTTCCAGCCTTCATTGGTTTTTACCGTCCCGAGGACCCCAACCAGTCAGGAAGCCAGTCTACACCTTCCTACGTGGCTTAAACTAACTGTTGTAGATTTCATTGACTGGTGAAGCCATGTTTTGGTTTGACCGCCGCTAGCTAGCTCTTTTCCAGCCTGACCAATCCTATGTCAGCCAGCTAACATTGCCCATTGTCGAGGAAGGCGATGACTTGTCATGCCTACGTAACACATGTCCTAACCATCTCAGTCGATGTAATTTCACAGTCTCGTCGATTGATTTCCCCTCCCACCTACCTAGCACTCGACTGAAGCCTGACCTCAATATTGCTCACCTTATTATGCCACCACTTCACACGGGAGATAGAACGCAGGCACCTATGATCGAAGACAGCTAATCAGCCTTTTCATGTCTTCCACTCTCAATGGCCAGGTCTCACAGCCAGCCATAAAGGAGGACGGAGCGGACTGTTGAGCAGTACACACGCCCTTTGGTCGATAGTCGGATATCGCGTCTACGCCAGAGACGGTGTAAACTGGCATATGCGAAACTAGCCCTCTGCATTCGTGCTGAGATTTCGTCGGAGATCAACCTGTTGGCACTGGCTGATGGTACTTCCCAAGTAAGTGAAGCGGTCAACGTGCTCCACCAACCACTTCACTTCATATTTCTAATCTAGGGGTCGGTGTAGTCCAATCTTGCAGCACTATCTTACATCAGGAGCGAATCGCATGCCAAACAGACGAAGATTGTTGCTCAAGGTGTTCAGAAGACTCTGCTGTATTTTGCCAGCGTCTTCGCCTAGATGGACTATATCATATTTGCATATTCTAAGTCAACGAGATTATTCCCTGGTGGTAGCAAGTCAATCCCTGAGTCGCTGAAGTGTGTTAGGGTGAAGTCCATTAGTACGTCTATGACGAAATTGACGGACGCCACTAGTCATCACCACTTCAGATGACAACTCGCCATAAGCCCTCACCTGGCTGACTACATGAGTACGAGTAGAGTGCCTTAATCAGTGCAATGAATGTATTTTCTTGGCATTCCCTTTACAGCCAAGCATAGCCAGAGAACCTCTCGGTCGACAGAATCGAATACCGCCTTTAAGTCAAGAAATATAATGATTATTGGACGCCGGTAGGAATGCCTATGTTCAACACACCCTCTTCCCGGCCTAAAACCTGCCTGATTTTCTCGTGTTTGTGCCTCCCGAGCACCACTCAGTTCAGTCTACGCAGTATTATTGAGCCTAGGATTTTATATACTATATAATAAGTCAAGCCAGTCGCTCTGTGATTATCACACAAGAAGACTTGTCTCCCCCGTCTTGTATATCGGGATGATCACAGTGACTTACACACCAACCCGATGGGACTTCCTCACACATACACATGCACATATCTGTAAAAACGAAATCAATCTCTATGCAATAATCACGATGATGTCACACTCTAAAAAAGAAAGCAAAAATGATTTTTAACACAAATAACTAGAATAAATTAAAAAGGAGATCCTGGGTGTGTTTGGGGGGGGGGTTATATATGGATTGGGCAGAATTGTAGTGTGTGTGTGACTCTCCCTTTTTGGCGTACACTTTGCAGACAGACAGACAGACAGAGTCAGTCAGTCAGCCTCCAAAGCCTCAGGATGGTCGGGGGTGGGTGCCTTGCACTGCGGGCTGGCCACCCCTCCGCACACCTCTTCAAATGCTCCCATATGACTGGGCGTCTTACATACCCTCTCCTGAGGAAGCCCTACTCACTGCCTTCACGTGGCGGAGGTGTTTTTCACCAAAGTGAGAGGGCGAAAGCGGATGCCTGGCGCTCTTTACCGGGTTGACTGTCCATTGGATGACAGTCTAGGGGAGATGGCTAAACCCTGATTCCAAACCTCCAACGACTGGCGTATGAAGCTCACTAGAGCTCACCGGCAGATGTATGGACAAAGGGCTTGTTGGATGTCCTGGATGTCTGGCCCCATTCAAAAAGGCGTGTATGAACTGAACTCCGGTCACCGGCTGCCAATGGATGGATAGTGGACTCCCTACTCCACTCCTACTGCCTTGTAGGTCACACTTGGTTGTGTAAAGGCTAGAGCTGCACTCTCAAACAAAAGGCGGCCGAACGATTCTGGGGACATCACTCGTACCAAATTCCCATGAAACTTCATGAACTCTCTTACAAAGCATCAGATCGCCGCGCCTGGGCAGCGATGATTCGAGATGTTCATGAAGCCGGCTCATCCTCCCGTAGCAGATAGCCGAAGTAAAGTAAGTAAAGTAAGTGAGTCAATGGTCGTCACAAGAAGACCAAGAAGAAGCATTCATCACATAATAATAATAATAACGAAAACCGACAAAAAGGGATTTTTTTGTTTAAAAAAAGAAAAGAAAAAGGGAGGAGTACATACACAACATCACACATCCGAGAGATCACAGTGAATTTTTGAGAATATATGATGAAAGTTATTGTTGAAATCGAAACAAAGCGCGCGCGCGCACATACACACACACATGCATGCATGCATGCATGCGCTGATAGATTATTCTGTATAATAATAATAATAATAATGATAATAAAATACACTACTCAGAGTAGAGTAGAGTAGAGTAGAGCAGAGTAGGAGAAAAATATGCGTAAAAGGCAAATGATGATCGTTAGTTAAAAGAAGTTAGTACTCTGACAGTCCTCTTCCATGTGATGTGAAACCTCCGCCTACTGGTCGGACAAGACGCATTTCCAGATGATTTCTAAAGTGACACGGTGGTTTACACGGGAGGCGAACACATCCGCTTGATGTAGTAGCAGTAGCAGTAGCAGTAGTACCAGGAAAACCAGGACCTGAAGTCAACCGAGAAGGTGTAGACGGTTGACGTGGATGATAACCGGCAGAATAATAGTGCTGTCGTTCTTCCAATACAGACTTTTGCATAGGGAATCGTATCGCTGGAGAATGATAACCAGAAGACGTCGAGATTTCTTTAGTAGCATCAGGATACTTTTCTGTTGGGTAGCAGCGGTAGCCTTCATGGATTTCAGGAGTGCTGCTACTGCTATAGCAGCATGAGGAGGCAGGATTAACATACGCCAGTCCAACTGATTGCCCGTTGGGATGCAGCATACGAATAGTTTTAAGTTGAAATTCTTTGTCTTCACCCTGTAGACAATTCTCTTTGAACTCCAGTATTCGTCTTAACTGATGCTCGATTTGTTTTGTTGCCAGATTAGTTCGTGAGAGTTGGTCTCTCAGTGCCTGAAATATTTAGAAAAAAATTAACCATTGGCATTGGCATTGTTAATAAACACGCTCAAACAAAATGAATAACTTTTCAAAGTGAAGAAATGAAATGTGATTGATTATAAACATTAAAATATCTATAAATTGAAAATCTGACACTAGTGCACTGGTCTATGATCTCTTTCTCACGTTAGGTGGTATAATAAGGTAAGTAATGTTGATGTTAGGCGTAGAGTGTTGGGAAAAGAGGGAAAATCAATCGAAGAGGCTATAAAGTTACATAGATTGAGATGGCTAGGTCACGTGCTGCGCATGCCTAACCATCGCCTCCCCCGACGGGCATTACTAGCTGATATAGGTGCAGGTTGTAAAAGAGTAAGTGGTGCCACGCCAAACAAAAACATGGCCTCATCAATCCATGAAATCCTTGACAGGTAGAGAGATACAGACTTCCAGGTTGAGGCCCTCGGGACTCTAAGAATCAATGGCTGGAGACAGACAATAGGTGACATGGCTCAAAATCGTTGTCAATGGCTTACGCAGATGTATTCAGTCTCTTGTGTAATCTTTCATATTCCTTTCTACCATTACTCATTCTGTTTCACTCTTATACTTGTCAAAACTCTATTGATTCTCTTCACTCATTTTCTTGTCTACCTTTGTGTGGTATTTGGAACGTGGCAACTCGAACTGCTGCACTTGGGTACCAAGTTCTAATGTTGAATCCAGCCAGCCACATAAAATTTTTAGGTAGGAGGATCTTTATCCAGTTGGATTGTTGACTGACTTCATCGTCTGAGCAAAAGTGCTAATGGGAATAGTTACCAATGTAGATTACGATCTTATAACACAGTCCTCCGACATTTGACCGTGCGCTTTTCGAAGATAGGACTTCAGGTGAACATAGAGAAGACAGGGGTGATGAAGATTCCTGGGCAACACCACCACCAGCAACAACAACAACAGACAACAATCAGCATAAATGGGAGGAACCTGAAAGAAACAGCCTCCTTCACCTACCTGGGAAGCATCGTTTCAACTACAGGTCGAGGATATCAAAGCAAGACAAGCTTTCACTACTCTCAAGTCTGTGTGGAGGTCAACAGTACTCAGCATCAAAAATAAGATCCAGATTTTCAACTCCAATATGAAGTCAGTCAGCGCTACTATACGGGTCAGAGACTTGGCCAGAGCGTCATGAAGAGCATCTCAAAAAAACCACAGACCTTCATCAAAAGCTAGTTGTCTTCGCTCAATACCACTCAAGATCAGATTGCATAGGCCTAACCGCTATGCCACCGACGCAAGCGGTTAGGCCTATGCAATCTGATCTTGAGTGGTATTGAGCGAAGACAACTAGCTTTTGATGAAGGTCTGTGGTTTTTTTGAGATGCTCTTCATGACGCTCTGGCCAAGTCTCTGACCCGTATAGTAGCGCTGACTGACTTCATATTGGAGTTGAAAATCTGGATCTTATTTTTGATGCTGAGTACTGTTGACCTCCACACAGACTTGAGAGTAGTGAAAGCTTGTCTTGCTTTTCCGATTCTTGCTTTGATACCCTCGACCTGTAGTTGAAACGATGCTTCCCAGGTAGGTGAAGGACGTTGTTCCAGATTGCGGGCCAGAGAATATCAGCAACAGAGATCTCTGGCGATGAGCAAACCAAAACAGTAGGAACCGATTGTGCAACAAATAAGCAGGAAGAAATGGAGATGGATTGCATTGTGGCCATACTCTGAGAAAACAAACCATCAAGTGACATCACTAGACAAGCCATCGCTCGAGTGGAACCCGAAAGGGAAGCCGCGAGTTGGTCGTCAGTGCGAGGGTCGGTGACTTGGAGGAGGTCATGTGAAGAGGAGATGAAAACGTGTGGGCAGACATGGAGCCAGGTGAAAACGTTAGCAGAGAACCGTTCGCAATGGAGACGTGCGCCTGAAGCCCTATGTTCCTCTAGGAATTAAAGGATACAATAATAATAATAATAACACAGTCCTCCAGCAATGCAAAATCAGCAATTTTCAAAAAGTCAAGAAAAATAATCAAATCAGAAAGTTCAATAAATTATTATAAGAGGAGAAATCGTCATCTCAGAACGATGAAGTCAACAATCGAAAGTCAACGCCGATCGATAAAACAAAGTGGGTTATCAATCAATCTCTCAACACATATATTAAGTCCTATAGAAATAAGTATGTTAGAAAAGGGACTGAATTTCAATGTAGCAGTGGACAAGCTGAAATCTGAGGATGTCATCCCTAAAATAGAAATAGCACTAAGTGGGATAGACAAAATTAAGGCTGATGAAGTACGGGCACAATGTGCACTTACGTTGAAATGACAAAAATGTGGAAAGCTTAACCCGACAAAACCAGAGATAGAAACCCTGAAACACCTTAAGAATAACAAGGATATTTGGTAATCACAAAGTCAGACAAAGGAAATGCAACAGTAGTATTAGACAAATCAGACTCTTTGGACAAAGTAAATACTCACATACAAACAGGACCATATGAGGAAATTACTAAATCAATAGACACAGTTATGAATAAAGTTAAGAAATCCACAGCGAACCTTGTACGCCGAATGAAGCCGTTTCTAACCTCAGCGTATTTCAATAAGCGCTCTTGACCATTTTTTATAGATGACCTTAAAGGCTAAGTTCATCTCGATTAGATGTTTAGGTATAGACGAAGCTGGTAGTCTGACACCTGCGTTTTACAACCATTTCGGGATATGATCACTGTCCCACCCTCACATGCAAAGCTTGACTGCTCCTCCCTATGTATGGGTGTCCACACACACACACGAAAATTGGTAAATTGTGTGGAATGTGACATAATCACTTGTACACTTTTGAGGTTTGCAGTGGAGCGTATTTTTAGCTTTTTCGACAATTACAAGCTGAGCTGCATAGTAGGTTCTACGGATGATCGAATTCAACACCTTTGTCTCAAAATCCTACTGTTTATTTCCCCGTTATAAGGTAATTTGATGAAAACCTTTTTCTTAGGGGCGGTATGGATTGTAGGTTTAGAGACTAATTGACTTCTACACCTGTTTAAAAATTCCAAAGGATATCCGTTTTCAACAAGAATATCCATCAATATTTTGTTTTCTTTATCTAAAACATCAGCCGTACAAATACGTTAAATCCTCTTAAATAGACATTTCACCAAGCCTTTCTTATACTGTAATGGACAGAAACTGTGAAAATTAAGGTATTGCCCTGTCCAAGTGGGCTTTCTGTATATTGATTGTCTTATTGAACCATCATCTCTTCGACTCAGAAGTGTATGTCTAAAAATGCAAGCTGGTTGCGGGTGACCTTTGTTCCTCGCATGTATAAGACTTATATGATTCCGTGTACATAGTTAAGTCTGTCTAATAGACGACTCGCATCTTCATGATCGTCGCATATCAACATGATATCATCTACATATCTCCTATAGAAGAAGGGCTATTTAGAAATTAAATCAAGGGACAAGTTGTCAACATAAGACATGCAAGACGTCCGCTAACAAAGGTCCTAATGGACCTTTATCAAGTTCACTCCATGCATAGTGATAGTTATTACGACGCAGTTAGATGCATCCACTCCTTGTGACTTATGATTTCCCATGAAACTATATTGTTCTACGTTACTACTATTCCTTTGTCTCACACCTATGTTTACTGTCTTTCTATTATGCATTTCTTCTACTTTCTTCTCTGCTTTGTGTGCTACATGGAGTGTGGCGACTTGAACTGGTGCACATCGGTATCAAGTTCTATTTCGAAAACAGACAGACAGAGTTACAAGTCAATCCCTAAAAAACAAGGGTTGACCACGATTGCAACCAACAGTACATGTGTCCACTGAAGTTAAATAAGAATCCGTGACAAACACAACTGGTTATCATTGCCATTAGCGGCTTCACAGCTGTGATTCTCATTGAAGTACTCTGGTAAGTACCAATACAATTAATTATCTAAGGCTCCTTCCACAGCGTCTATCGATCGATCAACGGTATCGAATGCTGCCGTTATGTCAAGAAACATTGGGAGTGTTGCAGAACCCTTGTGGTGGGGGGAGGGTGGGGAGTTGCCATTATACACTGATCCTGAACTATAAGCTTGCTGTATGTGGGTAAGTAATCGACATAAAAATAGTTACTGTTTGGATAAAAAACACTGTACACTGCTGACTGATTGAATTACTGTTTTCGTAAACTCACGTTTAGTTCACTGGTTTATCCAGTAATATGTACTGATGACCACGTTTCGAGCACATTTTATTGCTCAGTAAATATTACTGCATAACGGTACTATGAGACTTTATCGAAATAAATTTTATCCACAGTGGAGTTATACTCTGTTGATACTCCAACCTAAAAATGAAAGCTGTGCCAGATAAGGAATTGTGGAGTTTTTGTACTTGGTAGTCCTTTTTGATCATAGATATCTACAATCTCTTTCTCACGTTAGGTGGTATAATAAGGTAAGTAATGTTGACGTTAGGCGTAGAGTGTTGGGAAAAGAGGGAAAATCAATCGAAGAGGCTATAAAGTTACATAGATTGAGATGGCTAGGTCACGTGCTGCGCATGCCTAATTATTCCCTCCCCCTCCCGACGGACATTACTAGCTGATATATAGGTGCAGGTTGGAAAAGAGTAAGTGGTGCCATGCCAAACAAAAACATGGCCTCATCAATCCATGAAATTCTTGACAGTTAAACTGAGTCAGGTAGGGAGGGAGATGCAGACTTCCAGGTTGGAGCCTTCGGGACTCTAAGAATCAATGGTTGGAGACAGACAATAGGTGACATGGCTCAAAATCGTTGTCAATGGCTTACGCAGATGTATTCAGTTTCTTGTGTAATCTTTCACATTCCTTTCTACCATTACTCATTCTGTTTCACTCTTATACTTGTCAAAACTCAATTGGTTCTCTTCACTCATTTTCTCGTCTACCTTTGTGTGCTATTTGGAACGTGGCAAATCGAATTGCTGCACTTCGGTGGCAAGTTCTATGTTGAATCCAAACAGACAGACAGACGCCACATTAGCCTAATTGTGATTGACGCATGCTTGTTCACTTCCCTGACTGTATCAGAGATGGGCCTTTCTACCGCAGTTTAATACTTAGTTACACAGAGAAACCATTAGAAAGATATGCTTTACTAATTATTATTTAGTGGAAGTGGCTTACCCGAATTTCAACAACCTCCTCTTGAACTTCAGTAGTTAGTCTGTCCACTTCAGATTGCTTTTTGCTGGCACATTTTCGAGCATACCGTCTATTTTGTAGACGACGTCTGCGATTACGTAGTTCTTTGTGTTCTTCAGCAGTTACACGATTTTGTTCTAGCAATAGCCGAAGATCAGACGTTGTCATATTGACTAATTCATCATCTGTCAAGTTGAGACTCATGGTGTGGTTCCTGGAAAAAGTAATATTTGTGTACTTTAAAGGAAAACAGATGCAATATAGTTTGTGAAACTGTACCTCAGGTTTTATCGAGAAGAAGAAGCATCATGGCATATCTGGAAAAAACAGCAGCTTGTTATCCAGAGCACAGCATGGCTTCCGAAGAAACCTCTCATACCTGTCAAATCTCTTCACTGCAAGAGAAAGCTGGGTCAAATTAAGGGACAACAGAAGAACTGTTGTCGTCGCCTTCATAGACTTCCTTCAGCAAAGCCTTTGATAAAGTACCTCACAAAAGACTACTCATGAAGTTGGAAAGTCTTGGTATCAAAGGCAGCTTACTAAACCGGCTCAGGGAATTCCTCATACAGGGTTGGGATCAACTCGAAACTCTCCTCTTGGACAGCAGCACGTAGCGGAGTGCCACAAGACACGGTACTTGGACCTCTCCTATTTATTTTGTGTATCAATGAGTTATCTCTGCTCACCGACTACTCCCTTATGGTTCTATACGCAGATGACTTAAAAATTTGGAGAGGGCTGAAGGGCAACAGTGATACGTTAACGTTGCAAGAGGACCTCAACAAACTGTCAGAGTGGTCTTCTATAGAATGGATGCTCCCGATCAATGTGGCAAAATGTGCAACCATGCGCATTGGACAAGCAAGCACCAGCTCCGACGAACTAGAGGGAATAACACTTCCATCAGTTCAGACTCACTTGGACTTAGGTGTCATAGTTAGCCAGCGCACTATCGCGAGGTGGCTGCACGTAGTTTCAGGTCATTATGGGCAATTTGTAGAGCCTTCACTAGAATCACCAGAGATATGTTCACCTCCTTATATACATCTCTGGTGAGGTCAAGACTGGAAAACTGTATCCAGGCAGCTAGTCCTTACCTTAAAGGGAACTCACACATTCAAGAAAGGGTCCAAAGGAAGGCAACACGTATGGTTCACGGGATGACTAACTTATCATACGAAGAAAGGCTAGACAATTTAAATCTCTTCTCCCTATCATACCGTAAGCAGAGAGGAGATTTAATCACAATGTTTAAAATTTCAAATAATAATGACTACGGACCTCACCTATTCTCTCTTTTCCTTCCCACCAGGTAGTCGGACACACACCTTAGAGGACATAGCAGGAGAGTTCAAAAGCCAAGAAGAAATCATACTGCTGTTGAATACTGGTTCTTACACCGAGTCATAAACTCTTGAAACCGACTGACTGACTCCCACCAAAAAAGTGGTGGTGTCTGCAACCTCAACTGATTATTCATTCAAGAAGGGTTTGGACAACCACAGAAATTTACTAGAAAAGGATTCACATAGGCTCCAAGCCTTCTATCCCCAACCAATAAATCTGAAATCTGACTTTATCAAGCCAGCTCAATACACTTCTTCTTGTGTCCTGTTTTGCAAATAGCGAATAAAGTTACTACACTCTCTTGGAGAACCTTACAATTCCCACAAGTTAGAATGTAAAATTTAAAGCGTACTTTTTACTTATGACGAAACATCAAGCCAGTTTTATACGAATAAATCATTTTGGTTACCCAAAGAATTAGGTGTAAATTTTCACAGATATAGTTTAGGTACACAACAATACACCAGGAGACTTGGTGGAACGCATGGAGAAGATTGTTGAAAACCGTTAGAGCTTAGGATAATGGGTTTGTCTGCTAATCCAGAACTCAAACAAGCAGAATTTTCCGGAGTTCTTCTGATTATAATAACACCCGGGAGGATAATAGAAAGTGGCAGGTTAACGTAAACAAGAGAATGGTCACATATGTATTTGACGACAGGAATGTTAAAAATCACAACGCATGCACACTTCCCATTTTAAGGATTTATCAACGTGTCTATATCACTGAAAGTACTTAGCTCATTTATTACTCAGCCACTGGTATTATAGCAATGGTTGTCCCCTGCCATACAATCACCTAGTCAGACGAAGTATGTATGGCCTGAAACTTACGTCCTGAGGTTTCAAAGAGCGATTGCTTACACATTAGAAGCAAACTAAATCAACTAGCACCAGATGGTAAGCTGTACCTTCTCATTTGATCGAGTAATTTAACCAACTTGTTTTACTGTCAGAAAAATTGCTATGCATAACTTTAGTTGAATCAGCTACAAAGAAGGTCAGTTTTCAATCAAGAGCAGAGGCTTCTAGAACCTCTCATGAAGTTCCCTGAATACAGTACAGGGAAAAGAACATTTTTTTTCCGCAATAAAACAAGCTGATCTATGTGGCACATCAATATGTGTGAGCTATTGTTGTGGGAGAATCGCAGAGATTCCCCCTAAAGGCAAGCAACAGCTGATTGGCTCATACACTTCACAGTAAAATAACTGTAAAATTAGACAACTGATCACCACATGTCAATGCAGTTCAAACAAGAGAACGACGTTTAAAAGTAACATGAGATGGGATGTACAATTTACTCTGAACTAAAACTTACCTTCCCGCCGAAAACGGCAATACGAAACCCACGCAAAATCTACAGAAGCAAAAATATCCCCACAAACTTAATACCTGGTTAGCTCAAACAAACAAAATACGAACTTTGAAATGAATTCAATAGACAGTCTCATAAAAACAAGGTTTCAGTCGCATAGAAAATCTTTTTCACCTTTTCATACTATTATGTGGCTTAAAATACATAATATGGAGACAAATGAGTAAAGAAAAGCATTTCTGACAGTTTGAAGTTCTTCGTCCATTGCTACCTCGGCTGGCTTGATATTCAAGATTAGATTTACGGCTGGAAACGATAGGCAGCAAGGAACTCCAGCAAAAGACAAGAACCCACCACCCATAAAATGTACGAAAGGACATGGAGGTGGACCAAATATGCAAAGAGAAGACTGATGATTGGCGTAACGCGCCAGGCCGTCTAGCAGAACCCGAATGGGAAATAACAAAAATGCTGCCTCGAGGACGAAATGAATATGAAAGCCTGACGGCTAACGTAAGGTGACTTTAAAAAGCTGCAGGGATCAGAATGAAATTTAAAATGTGCTGCTGAAGTCCTATTTATCACCATTTCCTCAAGGGAATGAGGATTGTGACAACATGGATTTCTCGGATGCTTAAGGCAACGCCGATACCTTCTTACCTACTTTTCATGTCTATCCATTCTCCTCGAATAGGCGACATGAACGCCAAACTGAGACCAAACAACACAGGAAGAGAACTCATCATGGGTAGAGAATCTCTCGGAGAAATGAATGAAAATGGAGAACTCTTCACCGACTAGTGATTTGCGGCAGCATATACAAACACAAGGATATCCACAATGCTACATGGTTGTCACCTGATGGAGAAACAAAAACCAAATTGACTTCATCTCAATCTCAAGGAAGCGGAGGCCCAGCTTACTGGATACAAAAGTAAGAAGAAGAGCGTACGTCGCCTCAGACCACTATCTCGCTCAAGGGACAATTCAAATCGAACTAAAAGCTTTCAAAGAAACAGAAGCTGCAGATAGACCACAAGCCAAGTTCAACACTGAAAAACTGAAGGATCAGGCCACAAAGGACATCTCCACTACGAACATAAGGAAAAAACCCCAGACACAAATCAGCACTAGAGAAGAGATCAGCGTTGATAAGCATTGGGACAGCCTGAAAGCAGTGTTGAGTCAAACCTGCATGGAAGTTCTGGGCAGAAAGAAGAGACAAGACAAACTGTGGCTCACTATGGACACACGAAGAAAAATAGAAGAGAGAAGAGTGATGAAATAAGATTATCCAGTGCATAGACGAGCAACAAAAACAGGAGTTGAAAGCAAGCTACAATACATTGGACAAAAGAGTAAAGAAGAGTGCCAGAGAAGACAAAAGAAAATATTATGAAGCTATGGCAAGTAAAACAGAACAAGCTGCAGGCGAAGGGGACCTGGCAACAACCTACCAAACAACTAAGCTCCTATCGGGGAAAAGTTCAACACAAATTAAGCCAGTGAAGGATGCCAATGGAAAGTCATTCACCAGGGAGGTGGGGCAAAAACCACTGAGCCGAACACCTTAAAAGGCTTCAATCGACTTCAGCTATAACGCACCCAATAATACCAACGGCAGAAGCGTAACTATCAGTGGACACCAACCCTCCGACGAAGCAGAAATCCTGAAGGCCACAAAGATGTGAAAAACTGGAAAATCAATAGGACCAAACGAAATCCCCACAGAAGCATTGAAAATTGCCCCTGAGACATCAATGGACTTGATGACACCACTACTGGAGAAGGTGTGTAAAGTGGGCAAGGTACCTGCAGATTGGAAGAAAGGCTACTTATTCAAACTGCCAAAGAAAGTAGACTTCAGTCAATACAAGAATTGGAGCGGTATTATGCTCCTGTCTATCAGGAGTCGCATCATTCTGGGGGGAATAAAACGCCCTGGATGAAAATCTCCGACCGGAGCGGGCTGGATTTAGGAGAAACAAGTCATACATCGCTCATCCTTGAATGGAGCTTGGAATGGCAGTCAGCTCTTGACCTCAACTCCATCGACTTTGAAAAGGACTTCGACAGCGTTAATCGAGTGGTGATTTGGCAGCCACATCGCTACTGCGGGTTGCCGCCAACAATTATACGCCTCATCCAACAGTTGAATGATAATGCTCATAGCCAAGTAATCCACAACGGGAAACTTACGGAATCTTTCGAAGAAGTGAAGACGGAAGTAAGGAAAGCTGGCTGGCTGCCTACTATCGCCAATGATGTTCCTGATTGCAGTCGACTGGATAATGCGACAGACAGCGGGCAATGAGGAAACAGGCATAAAATGGACTCACACAAAAAACTTGGAGGATCTGGACTTCGCCGATGATATATGTCTGATTTCCCACGAACTGGAAGATATGCAAGTGAAAGGCAACAAGTTGGCAGAATAAGCACCCAGAGAAGATAAGACTTGAGGTGAACATAGAGAAAACAGAGGTGATGAAGATTCCTGGGCAACGCAAACACTAACAGCAACAACAACAACAGACAACAATCAGCCAGCATGAATGGGAGAAACTGAATCTGAAAGAAGCATCCTCCTCCACCTACCTGTGAAGCATCGTTCCAACTACAGGCGGAAGTGACGAGGATGTCAAATCGAGGATAGGGAAAGCAAGACAAGCTTTCACTACTCTCAAGTCAATGGCGAGATCAACAGCACTCAGCATGAAAATGTAAATAAGATCCGGATTTTCAAC